TATGTGACATTCTGGGAAAAGCAAAACTATGGATACAGTACAAAGATCAGTGCTTGCCAGAGTTGAGGGGAGGAAGAGATAAATAGGCAGAGTACAGGGGCAATAAAACTATACTTTATGATATGCTAATAGTGGATGCGTGTCATTATACACTTGTCGAAACTCATAGAATGTACAGCATCAAGAGTGAACTCTAGTATAAACTATGAACTGTGAATGACAATAATGTTCCAGTGTGGGTTCATCAATTCCAAAAGATGTATCACATAGGTAAGATATTGATAGTGGGGGGTGGTGTGCATGTGTGGGGGTAGAAGTTACATGAAAACTCTAGTGTCTGCTCATTTTTGCTGTGTACCTAAAACTACTCTAAAAAATAGCATCTATTAAATAATATGGTAAACAAAATTTTATATGCTCTCCATGTCAAATTAGATTATGATGTGTTTCAAATATTCTTAATCTTTGCCTTTTCTTTTCTCTCTCTTTTTTTTCCCACCAATTTGACATAGCATTAATTAATAGTAGTGTGTTGAAATCTTCCACTGTGATGGTGAGTTAATTAGTTTCTCTCAGTAGTGCTATGAAATTTTGCTTTGTATATATTGAGGCCACTTTATCAGATATATATATGCTTTTTTTGTTGTTTTTTTTCTAGTGAGTTAAGTCTTTTTTCATTATGTAATGATACTTTTGTCTCATAGTCTATTTCATCTGATAGTAACATAGCAACCTCAACTATATTTTCGTTAATATTTACATAATGTAATCTTTTTTATTCTTTTATCTTTTCTGTGTCCTTAGCTTTAATCATAACTTCTCTAAACAGTCTAAGGTAAGTCTTGTTGTTATATGTAATTTAACTGTCTTGTAATTAATTTAGTTCATTTCTGCTTATAATCACTATTGATATATTTGAACTTTTTAAACTTTGTTTTTCCTGTTATTGTTTCTCTCAGACACATTTTATGTTTTGTTCCTTTTTTTTATTTGTTGGATGGGTATTTCATTTTATTTCATTTAATTTCATTTTGAGTTGGTATCTCACTCTGTCGCCCAGGCTGGAGTGCAGAGACACACTCGCAGTCACCACAGCCTCGACCTGCTTGGCTCAAGTGATCCTTCCTCCTCAGCCTTCCAAGTGGTTGGAAGTACAGGCATGTGCCAGCACACCCAGCTAATGTTTTGTTTTGTTTATATATTGTAAAGACAAGTTCTCACAAAGTTGCCCAGACTGGTCTCAAACCCCGGGGCTCAGACAATCCTCTCACCTTGGTCTCCCAAAGTGCTTTTTTTTTTTTTTTTTTTTTGAGTCAAGAGTGTCACTCTGCGCTCTCTGGCTGACTTTAGACCTCTTATGTTTGGTGCAACATAATTCCAGTGTGAGGTGTGTAGTATCGTTGCTTTTCTTCAGGTGCTTGTGATATACTTTGCTTCCTAATTCTATGCATGCAATTTTTCTCTCTAGTTTTGGAAAATTTCTGGCTAGTCTATCTTTAAGTATTATCTCACCTATATATTTTTTTCTCCTTTTATTCCTGGACTCTAATCACATATACTTCAGAATTTCTCATATAATCTTCTATTTCTACTAGATTTTTTTTAAAAACCAGTTTTCTGTGGCTGTGTAATAAAGTGCTCCAAAACTCAGTGGCTTAAGACAACATAAAGCTCAGCTTAAATGTATCATCTTGTCTCCTTGTGGAATCAGCTGATGCTGTGTGGTCAGTTGGCAGGTCAGTTGGGACTCATTGCTCCTGGATGGCATTAATCACATGTCTGATATTTGACAGAGACTATTTCCTGGGGTTCATCAGTTTTCCTTCATATGATCTCCCCAGCAGGGCTGCCCAGTTTTCTTACACAGTGACAGTGTTCCAAGAGGGTGAGAACTAATGCTGCAACATCTCTGGAGTTCTGTACTTAGAAGCAGCACCAAACGCTGCCACTCTGTTCCACCGATCAAAGTAGATCACAAAGACAGCCCACATTCCAGGTTTAGGGAAACAGACTAGATCCCACCTCCTGACAGGAGGAGATGCAAATAATTTGCGGTCATGTTTATCTATCTCAATTTGCTTCGCATGTTCCATGTTCTCAACTATTTTTGCAGTATTCTAGATTAAATGTTTTGGCTTGATCTCTCAGTTCAGCAGTAGCTAATATGCTATTTAACCTCATCTATGAAGAATTTTAAATTTCAACTATTATATCTTTATTTCTTGAAGTTTGTTTTTTAAATTTAAATTTTTAGCTGGGCATGATGGTTCATACCTGTAATCCCAGCACTTGTGGATGTAGAGGTGAGAGGATTTCCTGAGCCCACGGGTTCGAGATTAGCCTGGGCAATTTGGTGAGACCTTGTCTCTATAGTTAAAAAAAAAAAATTAGCTGGACATGGAAACACGAGCCTGTAGTTCTAGCTACTTGGAAGGCTGAGGCAGAAGGATCATCTGATCCCAGCAGGTAAAGGCTGAGGCACTCCAGCCTAGGTGACAGAGTGAGACTCCGACTCAAAAAATAAAAACAAAAAATAAATAAATTTTTACATAATTCTATCCACTCTTTTGCATGCTTTTATTTGCAACCATATTCTTAATTTATTTATATATGCCCTACATCTCTGTTATATATTTTGTATCTTAAAATTCAACATCTAGCCGGGCTCAGCGGTTCAGCCTGTAATCTCGCGCCTTTGGGAGGCTGAGGTGAGTGGATTGCCTGAGCCCGCGGGTTCGAGACCCGCCTAGGCAACTTGGCGAGACCTCCTCTCTACAATAAATCAAAATGAGCCGGGCGTGGTAGCGCACGCCTGTAGTTCCAGCTACTTGGAAGGCTGAGGTGGAAGGATCGCTGGAGCCCAGCAAGTCGAGGCTGCGGTGGCTGGAAGCGGCCACTGCACTCCAGTCTGGGTGACAGAGTGAGACTCCAATTCAAAAAAAAAAAATTCAACATCTGTGTTTTTTTGGGTCCCAATATACTATCTTTTTACCTGCTGAGTTTCAAACATAGTAGTATACCTTCTTGTATCTGTGGTAATCTTTACTGTTGACCTTTTTAGGTGATTATTATCATATATTAAGATTAGGTGATCTTAATAAATGGAGTTCTGCATGCCTAACTTGTAGAAACATTTCTACTTCTGCCAAGAGCTAGGGGACAAAGTTGACCCTGAACCAACTTCTGTCTACAGATTTTGTCTCATAACAAGCGTCAGTCTCAGCTCCTCCACCTCTGCTCTTGATATTAAATATTCATTTTCACAGTTGTGTTTCTATTGGTATACATATAACAATTTCTATTGGTATAAATATGATAAATCCACTCCTCTGTTGGTCCATGTTGGCTTCCAGCAGTTCTTGTCTCAACTGTTGCTCCCAGCTGTTCTGATTTCCAGAAATTTTAGGCTTTGCTGACCACCCTGATCTGGGTTTCAAGTGTTTAGAATCCAGAAAATTGTTTTGTTTTGAGTGGCCCCTAAAAAATTCCCCAATCCTTTGTGAGGCCAGAAATGTCACAAGTGTACTATCTGGAGACAAACTGTTGGGAAATATGAAGGTCCATCAGATTTCTTGTCGGTTGTAATTGCTGAAGATTTTTTTAAAAAACAGGAACCAAAAATCACAAACCAATGACTGAAAATAGACAAGCACATAAGATCACCTACATAGCATTCATGCAGAATGCGTAACCTGAGCCTAATCATAAAAAAACTTCATTTAAACCACAAATGAAAGACAATCAATCTGTTTAAAAAGTGAAATGAAAAGAACAGTATTCCTTAAATTACACGTCAGTGTTATAAAAGACTAAGAAAGACCATAAAAATGTTCTAAAGAAAACCAAAAAGACATGCCAACTAAATGCAATATTTGACCCTAGATTAGATTACATACTAGAGGAAAAAATTGGGTCACCTGGTCGATTTTGAATGCAGACTGTAGATTAAATACAGCTTTTGTATTGCATCAATGTTAAATTTGCTAAATAACTACTGTCGTCACTTAGTAAATAGATATGATGCATGCAACTTACAGGAGAGAGAACAAGCAAACGATAAAGAAAATGGGGTAGAAATATTAACAATACCTAAATCTGAGTAAAGAGCAAAGAGGTATTTTTGTATTATTTCCATTTTTTCAGCTTTGTAGTTAAGTTTGAAATTGTTTGAGAAAGGCAGTTTGCATTGGAGGTGCTCAAGAAGTCAACTGCTGTGAATTTGGACTGGGCCGGGCCACGTCTGTAAAATATAGGAAGCTTTCTTCAAAAACCATTCGAGGAACCAATAATTCTTCATTGCTCCCCGTCCCCTCTAATCTGGGCGCTACGAAACAGAAGCCAGCTCTGTCTCACTTAATCACCTTTTATTCCAGCAGCATCCTATCCTACCCCACCCCCACCAACTGCTCTTAGCAGGGGACCGTCAGGGTTTTGCAGGAGGTAAACGTTGTTCCCGACGCGGATCTGTGCGCCTGTGTGATGCCTCTCACCTGGGCTGGGGTTTCCAGGTTGTCCTTGTGCTGAATCCATAACATCTTGAGCTCACAGGATGCTCCCCGCCATCACCACGAAACGTTCAGAGGACGTTCTTGGCTTCTGGAGACGGGGACAATTTGAGGATCATTATTCCAAGAAAGGGGCTGGGCTCGGGGACTGGAACGCGGTAGGCTAGGAACCCCTTTGATTCCCCCCAGTTCCCGCCGAACGCGGTGGTCTCAGCTGGTACCCGAGCTGCGCCGCCGCCCGCCTTGTCTTCCGGGGGCCTTAGGTTGGAAAGAGCAGGAAATTAAGCTGGAAAGAAAGGCGGCTTTCTGCCGCCTTCCTTTGTAATCTCATTTTGTTGCTTTCTTCTGATGCTGCTTGTGTAGGATCCAGCTCAGCTGTTTCACAAATCGGGGAATGTATATTCACGATTCTCTTGCAATTGACTAAATTTTTAAGAAGCAAAGAAATAATGCTTATAAATCACGAAAGGAATGCAAAGTAACCTGGTTGCGGTTGGGGGTGTAGCTCAGTGGTAGAGCGCGTGCTTAGCATGTACGAGGTCCCGGGTTCAATCCCCGGCACCTCCACCAGTTTTGGGAGGCTGTGTTTGTGATTAAAGCACTTTCTATCTCCACATCTACTTTCATTTCTTCTATTAAACCTGGCATCTCCCTCCATTCCGTTTTCTGTCTTTGTGGTTCTTAGTAACTGAGAGCTTTGCCACAAACTGGAATATCCTGAACCCTACATCACAAACATTACTTTTGGAAATTAATAGCTGGTTTCTTTGGATTTTAGACTCTCAGTTTCATTTACCTTTTTCTTTTTTGAATTCTGGAGATTTATTGGAGCAAAGAACACTATGAAAGTATAATAGCAGAAAAAATATCTTACTAGTTTCCTCCTTCTGAGCTTGCAACCACCCCACACCTCACCTTTTCTTGAATCATCAGATTTTGGAAGCCGGGGCCCCCTGTTGTTACTGTGTGGTGTAGACAAAAAAAGGACAATAAAATGCCGTTACAGTGTGTTGTGCGTCTCAGGCCTTAAACTGAATGATACAAATGGCATTGACTGGTTGAATGAATGAATACAGAACTTTGCTTAGATAGCTCAATGGGAGTGAGAGAGAACAAGCATCCAAATATCTCTCATTCAAGAAAATTTCAAGGAAAATAAATGGCATGTGAGGTTCATTTTACAAATATACTTAACTATATGACCACTTCCGCTGACCATAATTCAAGCAAGTATCCCACAACACCCTCATGTGTTAACCAATCAAAAAATCAAAACTGATTTGCCTAGGCCAGAGCTAGTCTGAAATATTAATCAAATACATAACATGAGAAAAGAAAATTGTTCTTTTTTAACTTATTGATTTCTAGAAAATGTTTTTATTTTGGAGAATAATTCTGCGTAATAGAAAATGTTAATAAGTTCCTATTGTCTGTACCACCTATTTAAGTCTTTTAAAGGTATTTTGTAATTAAATACATTTAATTTTTTTTAGTGACGAGGCAAAGATATGTATTATCTTCACTACTAGTTAATGTTGTAATAAATGTATTAGCCAAAGCATTTAGACATGAAAAAATAATTAAAAAATTATTAGATAGAAAGAGAAAGCTATCACTATATCTTGGCAGGATTACACATGTGAAAACCACCTCTTAAAATGGAAAAGCTATTACACATAGAGTATTTAGTAAAGTAGCAAGCAAACAAAAAAATTCCCCCAGTTAAAAAAAAAAAAACAGTTTTAAAATTTCCATACACACACACACACACACACACACACACACACGCCTTTCCATCACACACACACCTTTCCATACTCAACCTTTGAAGACTTTTTAATATAAATTTTATTTTGAAAGCTGACAAATGAAGAAAAGGAATCAGGCATTTATCCTATCTCTCCCACATGGAATGTATTTCAGGATAAGTATAGTTGACAAAGAAAAGATTTCCTTCATAGAAATCATAGCTAATAAATATAGGAATAATGACAAAATTGGAGTTAACATGTGCAACTATTAATAATATTGCTATAATGCATCCAGGTCACAATCATCAATGATTGCTACAACAATGAGGTGAAATTGGGTGGGAACACCTAGAATGGATGGAGCAGATAGACCCACCAGACACCAAAGCTACATTTTACATGATCTAATGTGAGCAGTCACACATGATGTGACTCACATACACATATCCAGGACCACCAATAAAATAGTTGTTTTGAAAATTAGCTCTTTAGTCAGGCATGGTGGCTCACTCCCCGTAATCCCAGCACTTTAGAAGACTGAGGCAAGAGGATCACTTGAGCCCAGGAGTTCAAGGCCAGCCTAGGCAACATAGTGAGAATTTGTCTCGATGAAAAAATATTCATAAATTTGCCTGGTGTGGTAGTGTGCTCACCTGAAGTTCCAGATACTCAGGAGGTTGAGGTGGAAAGATCACTTGAGCCCAAGAGTTTGAGTGATTGTACCACTGTACTCCAGTCTGGGTGGCAGAGTGCAACCCTGACTCAAAAAATAATAAATCTTTATGTAGTCAAATAGATGAAGCTATTTGTTTACAGTAAATATTGGAAATATAGGAATGTGTCTAATAACATCATAAGGATGAAATCAGATAAATCCAAAATTCTCCTGAAAAAACTGACCCTCAAGAAATAAATGGCAGTCGGGCTCGGTGGCTCAGCCTGTAATCCCCCGCGCCTTTGGGAGGCTGAGGTGAGTGGATTGCCTGAGCCCGCGGGTTCGAGACCCACCTGGGCAGGCAAGATCTCATCTCTACAATAAATCAAAAAAATTAGCTGGGCGTGGTAGCGTGCACCTGTAGTTCCAACTGCTTGGAAGGTTGAGGTGGAAGGATGGCCGGAGCCCAGCAGGTTGAGGCTGCGGTGGCCGGGAGCAGCCACTGCACTCCAGTCTGGGCGACAGTGAGACTCCAACTCAAAAAAAAAAAAAAAAAGAAAGAAAGAAATGGCATAAAAAAAGAGAAAGGTGGAACCGATACAGATTAAATGAAATGCAAGGAGAACAACAAACAAAATATATTTGGATCCTGATTCAAACAAAATAATTGAAAAATGAAACAAATGAACATGGACTGAGCATTAGATTATATTAAGATAGTTTTGTAATTTTGTTGGTTGTGATATTATTGTAGTATTGTTAAAAAGAAAGTTTATAACCATTAGTTATATGTATCAAAATATTTATGGATAAAATTAATACTGTGTCTGGCATTTGACATATTCTGGGGAGAAAGGAAAATTTATAGAGTAAAAGTTATTAAAGATAAAAGAACAACAAAGTGATAATAAATCCTGAAGCTGTGTGATAGGTACCAGGGTATTCATTATAATATGATCCCTACTTCATTTAAAAAAATATCCAAAACAGTTTTCTTTTGGTTAAAACTGTCATCTCCCAGTGTTTCACCAAAATGAACACAAAAGGAAAGAAGAAAGGTACCAACTATAAGTACTTTAGACTTTTCAGAAAATATGGAGTTGTTTCTTTGGTCACATACATGCAAATCTATAAGAAAGGTGATATTATAGACCTCAAAGGAATGAGCACTGTTCAAAGAGGAATGCCCCACAAAAACTATCATGCCAAAACTGGAAGAGTCCCTAGTTACCCAGCATGCTGTTGGCATTTTGTAAACAAACAAATTAAGGATAAAATTAATAACAATAAACAAAATATATTTGAGCCTAGGGGTGGGAGACAGGGGTTTTGTTTTTGTTTTTTTGTTTTTGTTTTGAGTTGGAGTCTCACTGTCAGCCAGACTGGAGTGCAGTGGCCGCTCCCGGCCACCGCAGCCTCTTCCCGCTGGGCTCCGGCTACCCTTCCGCCTCAGACTTCCAAGTAGCTGGAACTACAGGTGCGTGCTACATGCCCGGCTAATTTTTTGATTTATTGTAGAGATGAGGGCTCGCCAATTTGCCCGGCCGGGTCTCGAACCCGCGGGCTCAGGCAATCCACTCACCTCCGCCTCCCAAAGCGCGGGATTACAGGCTGAGCCACCAAGCCCGGCAAAGGGCAGTATTCTTGCCAAGAGGATTAATGTACATATTTAGTTTCATATGCTTTCAAAGAGCCCAGATAGCTTCCTGAAATGTGTGAAGGAAGGTGATCAGAAAAAGAAGGAAGCCAAAGAGAAAGGTTGCTGGGTTCACTGAAGCATCTGCCTACTACATCCAGAGAGGCATCACTTTGTGAGAACCAGTGGAAAGGAGCTTAAGTTTCTAGAAGCTAATCTCTATGAATTCACAGCACAATAGATATAAAAAGTAAAAACCCCTGGGCTGTAAAATGTTTTGATTAGTTGAGTGGAAGGGTGGTGTCCTCTCCCCCAAAAAAGTACTTAAAGCAAATAAATAAAAGTTTAAAGCAAAAAGTTATAAATTTTATATTGATTCTATATTTTATATTAAAATATACATATATTTTAAATTTCTACTTTATAAAAAGGTCTTCAATTTCTTGAGAATCAGTGCAGTATACACTTTTTTTTAAATTTTATTTTTATTTGACTTCAGGTAGCTTTAAGATAATCATGATCTTCTCTTCATTACACATTATCCTAATCAGTTTGTTGAAGTCTCCTCTCATATTGGCATATGTGTTTTTGTTTGTTTGTTTGTGTGTGTTTGTTTATTTGAGTCTCACTCTGTAACCTAGGCTGGAGTGCAGTGGCACGCTCACGGCTATCACAGCCTTGATCTGCTGGGCTCAGGCCATACTTCCACTTTATACTTCCAAGTAGCTGGAACTATAGGCTTGCACTACCACACCCAGCTAATTTTTTGATGTATTGTAGAGATGAGGTCTTGCCATGTTGCCCAGGCTTGTCTCCAACCCCTGGGGTCAGGCAATCCTCTCACCTCTGCCTCCCAAAGTGTTGGAATTACAGGCGAGTCATCACACTCAACTGTTCCTTTTTTAAAAATTCCATTTCTCCTTTCTTGCCTTAGATTCCTCCCATCATATACAATAATGTAAATGTTTTTAATGTGTCTTTTTATTTGTATGTCTTCTTGTAACTTATGTTGCTTTTGTGCATATATTTTTAATTTGTGTAAATGCTATAACCTATAGTCTTAATATGTTTCTTACTCTTTAAAATAAGCATGATGTTTTGTATGTTGCTACGTATGTATCTTGTTCATTGTTTGTAATGAATGCAGAGTAGTTCATGATATATGTCTACCACTATGATATTGTGATATACTAAGAAATATATATATCTCTGCTCCTGGTTCCTGACATTGGGTTTCTGAAATTCTTGTAGATAGGACACTAGGAGAATCTTTTTTTCTAATATTTGATTTTGACTCCAGTTTCTGATATGAGATTCCTAAAACCTTTGTAATCTCCTGAGATGTGAAGAACATCTTGGACAGGCTCAGTGACTCAGCCTGTAATCCCAGTACTTTGGAAGGCCGAGGCGAGTGGATTGCCTGAGCCTGTGGGTTCGAGATCAGCCCCGGCAACTTGGTGAGACCTCATCTCTACAAAAAGAACATCTTTTGTTCTAATGAGGAAACACTTGGTGAGCTCCTGGG